GCTAATGTTTGTATAGAGTTAATCATGTTTTGTATGCATTTGCATGAGGCAATATTCTTTATTCCAAGGCCATGTGACTAAGGCTTAGTGAAATAGGGTAATCCAAGGAAGAGGATGAGTCTATAGTAGTGGGGGCTCAAACACTAATTCTCATTGAGTAAATCCATATTAATCTCACCCCCTTAAATTGAGACAGTGAAGCCAGCATTAGGGAAGATAGGTGGCATAGTAGATAGAGTGCTGGGCCTGGAGTCAGGAAGACCTGAGTTCAAATCCAGCCTCACTCAAACACTTATTAGTTGTGTGACCCTGGACAAGTCATTTAATCCTGTTTGCCTCAGTTTCCTCATTTGTAAAATGAGCTGGAGAAAGAAATGGCAAACTACTCCATTGTCTTTGCCAAGAAAACCCCAAATGGGGTCATGAAGAGTCAGATATGACTGAAACAACTCAAGAAGAAGAAGCCACCAAAAAAATAAATAAATAAAAATTAAAAAAAAAGAAGAAGCCACCATATGAAAGACTGAGATTGCAGTTAGAAGATTGCTTACTTTCTGAGAGCCATGGAGAGTTTGACACTTCCATAGCACTCTCTCTCAGGGGCAAGGAGGACCCCACACTGCTAATTGCCAGGAGCATAGGAGGAAATGAAAATAAGTTCTTTGGGGGCAGGAACTATATCTTATTTATTTTTGGACTTCCTTTAGCCTAACATAATGCTTTGCACATAGTAGCCACTCAATATGTGTGCACCGAATAAATGCATGCATGTGAATATTCACAGGTTTCTTTGGGCCTTAGGTCGAGATGTGCATAACCTTTGACATTCTGGCTCACCTATTCTATGTTATTACTGGTCAAACTGGATTACTAGATTGTTCTCATCTCCTGCGGGAGTTTTTTCCATCTCAGTGCAATCTTGAAAAATACCTCCATGCCCGTAATGTATTTCTATATCTCTACATCTTTTCCTTCAAAGTCCAGTCCAGGTGCCATCTCCACTATTAAACCTTCACTGATAACCCTAGGGAAGAAATTTCTCTCTCTAAAATAGTTTTAGCTCACCTTTACTCCCATCAAATTCTATCTTGTATCATAGTTATTTGCATACTTAATTATTTTTCTCCTTAGACTATAAGCTCCTCGAGGGCAGGTAATATGTCATTTTAATCTTTGTCACCTCAGCATGTAGCACAACAGCTTGCACATACTGGGCACTTAATAAGAGCTATCTGATTTGAATATAAATGAATTTACTTGTGTTTGTGCTATGTAAGGTCAGCCTTAATTGTAGGTAGATCTGATTTGGCTTTGAGGTATGATTTGAGAAGACTCGGGAAGATTCTTTATAGCCAAATCTCTTCCATCAACTTCTCACTAAGACTTATGAGCCTACAATTAATAATTCATTCTTTTGCCTAGTGTTTAGATCCTCTTTTAAAATGTTGTTGTTGTCATTGTTTTTCCTTCATTCTTTTTTTTTAAGGCAATTGGGGTTAAGTGACTTGCCCAGGGTCACACAGCTAGTGAGTGTCAAGTGTTTGATTTGAACTCAGGTCCTCCTGACTTCAGGGATGGTGCTCTATCCACTGTGCCACCTAGCTGCTCCTTTTTCCTTCATTCTTGAAGAGGACCAATAACATCACAGGGTGATGTCATGATTTGTGGGTGAATTGAATTAAAGTGAGGCAGAGTTGCAAAAATCATCAGCCTCGCTCTGTCTTCCAGAGTCATCAAAGCGCAATGGGAAGATAAATGTCAAGATGACTGGCAATGGCCTGGGATGCAGTAGATGACCTCGGTGTCTTCGATGTCTTACCAAGCTCCGAGTGCTCCATAGTGCCTACGTCAACCATCTTTGTGGCTGTTGGAACAAATTGTTCTCATCCGCCCATTGCATGATGGGAAGTCCTCACATGCTATGGGTAGAAACCCCTCTAACTCACCTCATGGGTTTGAGGCCCGGCAGTTACCCTCAACCTGGGTTAATCCATCTGCAGAGACAGTTTACTGGTGTGTGACTGCTGTGTGACCTCTGTGGATATTATAGTTTCCTGGAGCCATGGATGAGAACGGAGCACCAGGTAGGTACCAAAGATAGATGAGCAGCCCTGAAAAGGACTCAGCAAGTAAGTCACAAACCTCTTGGTGACTCTGCAGTTGGGATCCCAGAGCAACTCAATATTTGGTGGAGGTAGAAATGCTGAAAAGAGGGGGGCAAAACCCTGAAGTGAATTCTAGTTGAGGCTCTTACATTGACTTCCTCTCACTGTGTAACCTTGGGCAAGTTACTTAACCTCCCTATAACTTAAATCAATATTTCTTAAGCACAGATTATATGTAATGAATAAAAGACCAAAACAAAACCATCTCTATCTTCTAAGAACTTACATTTTGGAGTAGGAGTGGAATATGATAAGAAAACAGCTAAGTATAATACAGGATGGGGAAGGTTTCCTCAGTTTCCCTTTATGTAAAATGAGAGGAGGTGTCCCAGATGACTTCAATTTCTTTCTGTGGTGTAAATATGTAAATATGGTCTAGATATCTAAATCAGGGAGAGACAAATCAGTCTAGACCAATATCCTTAAGGAATATTGATGTAAAAATTTTAAATAAAACATTAGCAAATAAGCTGTAAAAACATATTCAAAAAATTGAGCACAATGACCAGATTAAGTTTATATCAAGAATGCCAGATTGGTTCAGCATAAGACTAGAAATACAATTAATCATATTAATAATACTTGTATTGAAAATCTTATGACTATCTGGATGCTGAAAGTGCTTTCATACAATTGTTGATAACCTGTATTTTTTCCTTCGAAAATTTACTATTTATATTCTTTGACCATTTATTTATTAGGTAATGTTTCTTACTCTTACAATTTCAATCAGTTCCTTATATATCTTGGAAACTAGACCTTTATCAAAGATACTTGTTGCAAAGGCTTTTTTCCCAGGTACCTATTATCCTTCTAATTTTTACCACTACTTTAATTTATTTGGGCAAAGTCTTTTAAATTTTATATAATCAAAAGTGCTTGTTTTATCTTATATGATCTTATCATTTCTTTAGTCATGAACTCCTCTATCTAATAGATCCAAAAGGTGATTTTTCCTTGCTCCTCTAATTTATTTATAATGTGACTTTTTATATCTAAATCATGCAGTCATTTGGAACTTAACCTAATTTTTGCCAAAGTGTTATCCAGTTTTTCCATCAGTTTTTATCAAATAATGAGCCCTGTCCCATTATCTGGATACTTTGGATTTTTTCAAATACTGTGCTTCTGTGCTTCTTTGCTTCTGTATGTTGTAGACCTAATTTGCCCCATTGATCGGGACATTAATCTCTCTTTTAAAAATCATTACAATGTCATTTTAATGATTATTGCTTTGTAGCGTGGTTTAAGATCTGTAACTGATAGAGCTTTTCCTTCTCACTTTTTGTTATTGTGATTCTTAACCTTTTGTTTCTCTGCATAAATTTTATTATTGTTTTTTCTAACCTTACAAAATATTCTTTTAGGAGTTTAGTATAATACTGAATAAATAAGTTCTTGTCAAATAGGGAGTTCTCTCCCAACTTGTTTGTGTTCTTAGCTTTATCAGACACTGGATTATGAAATTTGAGTGTTTCTGTTTCTGAATCTTACTCATCTGTTCTACTCATCTACTTTTCTAGTTTTGATGTGTTTGGGTTTTTTTAAAATCCATACCTGTAATTTCAACAGTGTAGGTAGCTCTTGGGGAGGAAGTTCCTTCTACCAATGAAGGTAAGCAATGAGTCTGCCACTTTGAGTCTTAAAGAATTGCTGGGGTTACTGAGAGCTTAAGTGACACATTTAGGATCAGGTAGGCATTATGTGTTAGAAGTAGGACTTGAACCTAGGTTATGCAGACTCTGAGACCAGCCCTTTATCCACTAGGCTGCGCTACCTCTTTTTGATGAGAAGGGCTAAGGTGTTATACAAGATGAGAGCTGTGTGAAAAGAAAAAAGAACAGGTAGGAGAGGTGTGGAGGTAGAAACAGCAAGATTTGGTGACTGAATGTTTAGGATGAGTGAGCATGAAGAGGTGAGGATGCCACCACGTTTGCCAACCTGGGTGACTGGAAAGATGGTGGTGTCCTTGATAGTAACAGGGAAATTGAGATGGGTAGCCTCAGAAGGAAAGATAATGTAATATAGATATGACAATCAAAACCTTCATCTTGTGTGATTCATTCTGTCCCATCCAAAATGAAAAGGGCGAAGTGGGATTCTTACTCACAGATCTCTGCTCCATCCTCAGCACAGAGCCCACCCTCTGAAGATATCTGATATAGCTGTGGTGGGGAGGAGGGATTAGTTAGCATTTAGATTATAATTGCCTGACAATCCAGCATCAGACTCAGAATCAGGGAGACTGGAGCAGGGGAGAGTTGGAGATAAGAATAGGTTTGGCTGTTTTGGAGATAAACTCCAAAATTAGTTACTAGGGGATGGTGCCATCACATAGTCCTTCTTTGCTTGCTTGATAACATAACCCTTGGGGTCAGGCTTGGGGGCCACAGTTCCCACCTTGGAGATCACAGGGCTGTGATATCAAGCTTGTCAAATCTATGTGGCACTCTTTCTTCCTCCCCTTCTTTTTTCAATGTTCATGTTTTAGAAATGAGTAGTGTAAAGTAATAAATGGCATGCTTGTTGTATTTGCAGATGATACAAATCTTGTAAGGATAGCTAATATTGGAAGAGAGTCTGGATCCAAAAAGGACCTCAATAAGCTAAAATAATGCATCAGACTACTTAACCTGGATAAATAGACCATTCAACACTTGGGTTCAAAAAAATCAACTTCACAAGTACAGAGTGAGGGCAGTATGGTTAGTTAATAGCTCCCATGAAGAAGATTTAAGGGTTAAAATCAATCACAAGCTCAACATGATTCAACAGTGTAATGTAGCCACCAAAAAAATTCATTCAATACTGGGCTGTGTTAGGAGGAACCCAATGTCCAGAACAAGGCAGGCAGCTTATATGCAACTGAGGAGATATAGAAAAGTGAATACAAAGTATATGCCAAGACATTTCAAGAAGGAGAGAGTGACAATAGCTTAGGGAATGAGGAAAGACCTCCTATGGAATATGTCACATGAGCTGTTCTTTAAAGGAACCCAGGGATTCTATGAGGCAAAGGTAAGGAAGGAATGCATTCCAGATAAACAGAACCACTGTCCAGGTACAAGAGCAGGGACACAAGAGATGGAGTCATTTAAAAACAACTAGCAGGATACTTTAACTGGAAAAGAGAGTGGGGAGGGAAATAACAGGAAATAAGACTTGAAAGGTGGATTTGAGCCAGACTCTGAATGACTGTAAATGCCAGGATGAGAAGTCTCCATTTTATCCTAGAGGCAATATGTTGCCATTGAAGGTTTTTTGAGTATGAGTGTGTGTGTGTGTGTGTGTGTGTGTGTGTGTGTGTGTGAAACCACAGGGGAAAAAGGGTGACATTTTGGTATGAGTTGTTTTTAGAAAATATCAATTGATGAGCTGGGTGAAGGATGGGTTGCAAAGGGAGAGATTGGAAGATCGATTGGGATATTGCAATTGTCTTAGTGAGATTATATGGCTTGAACTGGGACAGTAGCTACGTAAATAGAGAAAAGGGAATGGATGTGAGAAGTGTGCAGTTAGGACCAGTGAGATTTGGAAAATTACTGGATATGAAAGATGAGGAAGAGGGAGTAGTCAAAGATGGCACTAGGATTGTGATGAAAGAACAACATTGCTACCAATAGAAAGGAGGATCTATGGAGGAGGGATGGGTTATTGGTGGAAATATTAATTTTATATTTTGAATTTGAGAGGCCTAAGGGACCATTGGGTCAGAGGGATGTCCTGCAGGTAATTAATAGTAATGAGACTGGATTTCAGGTGATAAATTAGGGCTGAATGTATTAATTTGCTAGTTATTTGCCCAAAGTTGATAACTGAGGCCATGGAAGTTAATGAAATCTCCAAAGGAAATATTACAGAGAAGGAAGAAGACAGTTCAGAAGCTTTGGGGACATTTACAGTTAGTCGGTAAATGGAGAGAATGACCCAGCAAAGGAGAATGAAGAGGAGTGAACAGTCAGGTGGTAGGAGAGCTAAGATCAATGTTGTGGTAGCCAATGGAGGAGAGAGCATCAAGGAGTAAGTGACTGACAGTGTCTAAAGCTACTGAGAGGCCAAGATTTATGGAGACTGAGAGAAGACCATTGACTTTATCGGGTAATCAGTTATTGGCAATGATTTAGAAAACAGTTGAGTAGTGGGGTCAAAGAGGAGGTGAAGAAATGGAGTCAGTGGGTATTGACACCTTTGTAAGGAGTTTAGCTATGAAAGACAAGAGATATAGGATGGTAATTGGAGAGAATGGAAAGACCAAGGGAAGACTTTTTTAAAGGTAAGAGAGACTGAGGCATGTTTGTAGGTGATGTGGAAGGACATAGTGCATAATGAAAGAATGAATATCAGAGAAAGGGAGGTGATTGAGGAAAAGACCAGAGAGGCTTACCTTAATAGCACAGTGGAGAGGCTGGTCTTGGCAAGAAGAAGGATCAACTTCTCATTAGAAAAAAAAAAAGCAAAGGAGGGTGGAATGGAAAATGTCAAAGAAATAAAACATTGACAAGTTTTAACATGTATCATAAAACTATTATTTGAAAGAGTTGGAGAATGGTATGTTTTTAGCACATATGAGACACTTAGTCCTATTGAATTAAATCATTTGTTGAATTGTTGTGATTACTAAGGGTTTATTGAGCAGTTAGATGACAAAGTAGATAGAGTGCTGGCCCTGGAGTCAGGATGACTCATTTTCCTGAATTCAAATATGTCCTCAGACATAGCTATGTGACCTTGGACAAGTCACTTACCCTATTTGCCTCAGTTTGCTTATCTGTAAAATGAGCTGGAGAAGGAAATAGCAAACCACTCCAGTATCTTGGCCAAGAAAACCCCAGATGGGGTCATGAAGAGTTGGACATGACTGAAAATGACTGAACAACAAGAAAGGGTTAAGCAATGTTCTTTGATTTGTAGCTTTATTTCTTCCTCCTAATTCTGGTGCATGAAGAGGTTTAGGACTTTGGACTTTGGGAGGACAGGAGGTGATAAGCGATGCACCTCTGACAGGGAGGTGCCATGTTAAAAAATTGGAGAAAGGATTGTCAAATTGTCTTAATGGCAGTACTTCCCTTTGCTGATGCTAACTGTTGAACCTACTTACACCATTCTGTAATGAGCTGGCCAGGGACAAAAACCATGAGAAGCCACTGCCAACAGCTGGACAGTGAATGAAGGAAAATTCCAATCCTTAGAAATTCCATATTACACCACATCCCTGATACCATACCCTGGACTGAACTGAGGTTCTGAGTCTAGAATTTCTGTATCTTCATCTGATGATTGGCCCTGCTGGAATTAAGAGTTAAATATCCTGTGAAAATGGTGTTATTTATATTCTTTAACTGATGCTCAAGAAGTTCATTAGGAATGAAATGAACTCAAACTGTGAATTTCCTAGAACTCCCAGGTTTGAAGGAGTTGTTTTTGTTCTTGGTTTTTTCCTTTTTTGAGAGACTTCTAGCATCTAGGAGAGTGGCAGGCTGATAGTCAATTGGTAGGTATTTAGTATTCAATGTTCTCTTTTTATTATGAACTATTTGTTTGTTTGTTGGTTCCATGATGCCAGTAAAAACAAGCATCCTTATGCAATATCCAAGCATGTTTGGCTGCTTTTGAGGAGAGCCAATGACACCAAGCCAAGATCATGTGACAAGGGCTTGGTGAATATGCCAACTTTAGGAAGGAAGTAGGGCTTCCCCAGAGCATGGGAGCCCTATGATTGGTTTCTGATTGAGCAAATCATCAAATCCACCCACCCTTTGAAAATGAATCTGTGCTGTGCACCTCAGGGATCAGGAGTCAAAAGGTTGACAAGTCTCTGAGAAACAAGGGTCCATGAACTTGTTTTTAAAAATATTTTGACAGCCCTATTTTAATATAATTGGTTTTATTTGCAATTCTATGTATTTTATTGTATACATTTAAATGTGTTATTATGAGAAGGGATTCATAAGCTTTACTGGACCACCAAAGGGGTCCATGATGCAGGACCCCTTAAATCTTTGCTCCAGTCCACATCGTATTTGATTTAATTTTCCTTTCTGGTGCCTCTTTTTAAAATTTTGATTTGGAATTGGAGGACAGAAAGTTGGAATACTGATCAAGTCTTCATTACCTATAGTCACAGACCATTATGTCCTCACATTCCAGATGAGTGACTAAGTTTTACAAAGGTGAGGTGACTTACCTTAGGTCAAGCAGCTACTTGGGAAGAGAGAAGAAAGCAAAACTTAGATCTCTTCTGGTTTATCCATAAAAAAACTTATAAAATATCTTCTTTTGCTATGACCTCTTTAGCCCTTCTTCCATGTATTTACATAAGATATAGGTTATATTTACATATAATACAAAATGTAGTCTGCCCTTTTGTAATCTTCAATGAGTAAAACCTTTGACCTTTGAGTAATGGCTCCCTGCTACCTCCAGGATCAAATATGAAATCCTCTGATTGACTTTTAAAGTCCTTTATAATCTGGCTTTTTTCCTGTCTTTCTAGTCCTCTCATACTTTACTCCCCTCCAAGTACTATATAATCCGATGGCTCTGACCCTGTGTTACTATTCCTCACACAAGACACTGTATCTCCTGACTCCATGCATTTTCACAGTCTGCCCCCAGGCCTGGAATTCTTTCCCTTCCCATCTCCTTCTAGCTTTCCTGGTTTCCTTCCAGTCCCTGCTATAATCTCATCTGCTACAAGAAGCTTTTCCCAATGTCCCTTAATGCTAGTGTCTTCCCTCTGAGATTATCTCCAATTTATCATATATAGGTGTATGTATGCATGTTGTTTGCATATATTTATTTGAATTCCCCCATTACACTGAGAACAGGGACTGTCTTTTACCTTTCTTTGTATTCTCAGTGCTTCAATATTCAGTGCCTGGAACATTGTAGGGACTTCATAAATACTAATTAACTTGACTTGATTCCATGGGACTTCACCAATGCTAATGGGAGATCCTCAGAAAAACAAATTACTTGGTTTATCCATTACCTTCTTAGCTATTCCCTCTCCCTCTTGGTATCATTTGTTTGAACTGTAACCGGTGCCATCTCCCTCACAGTCATGAGGATACGGAGAGGTAGTGTTGTACTGGAAAGAATGAAGTAGAAACAGGACACCTGAGGTCTGGTCTTGTAAGTCCTAAGTAAGTGCTGGTCGTTTTATGGTTCTCAGATAGTTATCACACTTTTAACCTTCTATTCCTAAGCTACACCTTTATCTTTGGAGGCAATGCTAATTAGAGCCATAGCTAAAGTGGGCAGACTAGAGCTTTGCCTCAGGGGGCCAATATTTGGAAGTGGTAGGAATGTAGGGCAGGACAGCACTCCTGCTCAGGGTGGTCACTGTCTCTCATACTTACCTCATGCTGCCCAAAGGCCTTTGTCACCATGGTTCACAGCTGCATGCTTCCCCCAGGGTCCTGTCACTTTGATGACAGTACCCATTGTCATCCCCATCCAACTTTTGTAAACAAAAGCCAGACCTTCTGAGGGATGCATCTCCTGGTGCAACTTCATTCAAGGTCAGACTGCTCTCTAGACCACTGCTGCTGCCTTCCTGCTATCCCTGCTCCCCAGCTGAATTTGCCCTAGGTACAAAAATTCATAGTTATGCTCTAACTGTCTCTGTCCCTAACACAAAGTGTGGTCTTAGACAAATCACTGCATACCTCTGGTGTTCAATTTTCTTGTCTCTAAAATAAGATGACTTCATCAAATGGGGAATAGTTGAGCAAATTATTACATATAAATGTAATGGAATACTATTGTGCTGTAAGAAATGACAAAAGGGGCAATTTCAGAGAAACCTGGTTAGACTGGGATGAACTAATGTACAGTTAAATGAACAGAACCAGGAGAACAATTTATATAATAACAATACCTAGTACTTTGACAAATTACTTTGAAGGACTTAACAATCAATACAATGAGTAAATCACAATTTATGAGGAAGAATGAAGCTAGCTACCCACCTCTTAACAGAGGGGTGATGGACTCAATGTTCGGAAGGGGACATA